CCCCAAAACCCCAAAACCCCAAAACCCCAAAACCCCTTTTAATTTCTTAATTATTGAATTAGAAATTATTCCTCTGGAAGAATCACATTATATAGTTGATCTCCTTTTAGAGTATTCTTCCCAGCAGGAGCTATCCTCCTTGTGTACTCTGAAGGAAGAAATTTATAGTTTTTAGGATTTAGTTCATGATTTGGTAATTGTTGTCCATAACTATTGTGTGCTGAGCAAAATGGGAACAAATTCTGAAGATCCTCTCCATCTCTAAGAATAGTTTTTCATTTTTCAGGATTTCTGAGGAATTGTTCAAGCATTCTTTTGTATTCAAGAGTTCCTGGTTGAGGAATTGAACCTCGAGGTGCTCTCTCATAGGTATATCCAGACTGGTTACCCTCTTGATCGATGTCATTTTGATCAAACTCGTCTCTATTTCTTTGATCTTTGGAATCAAACATTTCATTTTCTTTATTTTCTTTCCCATCGTCTTCTTGATCGCTCTTTACATCCTGCTCTCCGTCTTTTATTTCTTCTTTTGATTGCTTTTTCTTATGGTGGAAGTCAATTTTGTTTCTATTTTTGTTCTTTTTCTCTAATTGAGAGAAGTCCCATTCATTATCAGACCCGTCTGTGTACTCATCCGTATTTGGAGGTTCTACATATGTTTTTGGCATGATAGGGTTTCTCTTCATCATTTCTTTGAGAACACTATCTGGGATTTCTAAATTTTCTCTCCTTTGCCTTGAGAGAACTGGGACTCTATCTCCATGTGCAAATCCTTTACTCATGGCAGCTCTGTAAACTTGTTGATACTTGGGCATATTCTCTCCATGCTCGGGGTTGACATTATGAGTAAGCATGTAATCTCCATAAACATGTCCTCCATAAGATGGGACTGTATTGTCTCTTCCATAACAATGAAAAGCTGGTCGCCCAAAGTAGGATTGATATGCACTGTCAGGAAGCCATCGCGCCCATTTATGAAGGTCATCAATTCTTTCCTTTCTCTTTTCTTCATCACTTCTTTTTAATACTCTTTCCTTCCAGCTCATGTCTTTGAGTTTTGGCATCGATTGATCCCTCTTCTTATCATTTTTGCCTTTCTTAGTAGAATCAAGAGTATTATATCCAGATTTATAAGCAGCCTTTGATTTTGATCTCTTCACGTTATGATCTCCCTCATTATTCCTGTTTGCAGCATTCTGGTCATTCTCATCATGTTGTTCAAAAGAGGATTCATCGAGTTCATAGCCATGCATATGAGCCAAATTTCTCATTCTGTCAATATATTCTTTCTTATAGACTGTGGTAAACCAGTCTTCGATCTCTGGAGGAGTCTTCCCTTTTGTCCTCTCAGGATTGAAGAAATGATCGTAAATAAACTGATGCATCTGTCTATCATAAGCATATTGCCTATAATTGTCATGGTTTTCGGACACATATTGGCTTTTTGATTTGTTTATCCTGAAAACAATGTCTTTCTTCACTAAGTCAGCAAGACGAATTTTCTGTTTTGGCACAGTAGGTTGGTCAGGAACCTGCACTTGGCCTGTAAGGATCAACTTTTTAGCATATTGATGATCTCCTCTTTGGAAATAGCCTTTTATGTAATCCCCTTCAACTCTTGCTTCAAGTCCCCCTGATAAGATATCATACATTGATGCTTCAGTCTTTCTATCTGGGTACTTTTTGCCATACAAAGTTGCCATTTCTTTCTCAAAAAGGAGTCTGAGTAGCTTATGGTTTTCATCCTCCTTACGGGAGGGAGAGTGCCTTTCCCAAGGAGCGTAGTTTCTTCTCGTACGCTTCATCATCATATCTCCATCTCCTGGTTCGAATTCTCCTACATGAGCAATAGGATTCCTCTTATATGGTTCTTGTATCAGTTTTTTGGGCATTTTGGACTCAAATTTTAATTTAAAATTTAAAAATTTGGGGTTTTGGGGTTTTGGGGTTTTGGGG